TGCCACTTGTTTTTTTTTCGGCCGTGCGTTTCCCTGCGACGTGCCTTATACTGCTGCCGTCCTAATGTGTAATGTTTTTCTTGTTCGTTGTCATGGCTTGTTCTGTCCTCTCCTTGTCTGGCAGGTCTACTACACGGGCCTCGAGTCCCACCCTGACTACGACATCCACACGGCACAGGCCAGCGGCGGAGGCAGCGTGGTCTGCTTCCGCACAGGCTCTCTCGCGTTCTCGCAGCACATCGTATCGGTACGTCCGACACCGAGATGCAATAAATGGTTGTGTTTGCACAGGGGGGGGCTTGGTGTATGAAGACTCGGCCTTGAAAGTCTTTGTATGGGTCAGGTTGTGCTTGGTTTGAATTGCCGACTTTGCAGTGTTCAGGCAGCCCCTGTCTGTGAGTGTGCTTTGTTCGACTGTATTGTTTGGCCAGAGAAGAGTGGCGCGTTTGTGTTGCCCGGGCTGTGTTGAATAGCCGAGTGGCGTGAAGGGCGGCGAGGATTGGACTCTCGCTAATCATTCATCGCAGCGGAGTTTTGTTCCTTTCTCGGGCCATATGCTACGTGCTTTGTGCGTGTGCTTCGGTTCGGTTTTGTTAGGTGTTTCGTTGGCACATGTTCACGTTTCGTCGACGTTCATGCCTATGCATTCATGCCCCCTTTGTCGCTCCCTGGCGGAAACAGGTGACCAAGCTTTTCAAGATCACCGTGAGCTTCGGCAGCGTGAACAGCCTCATTTCCATGCCCGCAGCCATGTCCCACGCATCCATCCCGGCGGAGGTGAGACCCACGTCTGTCCTTCGAGTTTCTGTGTCCCTTCTGTGTTTGGATGCTTTGCTTGTTATGCGCGTAAGTTAGGCGTGATCGCACACAAGGATCCCTCGTGCGGTCCATCCCCTATTGCCGCTGTTGATGGCGAAAATGTGACCTCTCCGTACTTTCCAAAACGTCAATTCGACACGGGTTTTATCGTCTGTGTGCAGTTGTTGAAGATGGTGATATGGTGATGACATGCAATACGTGTATCACACGGTAGTGTGGGTGCATGGTTATCAAATCGCGCACAGCAGCTTTTCTTCTTCTCATAGGGATTATTTTTTCCAATGGTGCAGTGTTTGGAAGGCAAAAGTCGCTGTTTCTCACGGATCGATGGCTTGCTTGCCGCCGTGTCTAATTGTCCCTCGAACAAACAATCAGATTGTCCCCTTTTCGAAAACAACGAACCAATCATAATGCCCCTCGACCAAACGTTAGGTACGCGCCGCCCGCGAGTTCCCCAACGACCTGGTGCGTCTGTCGATCGGCATCGAGTCTGCGGAAGACCTCATCGCGGACCTCACCAAGGCCATGCAGTCTTACACCGCTCCGGGCCCTTCAGCAGCCGCCAAGGCTGCGGCCGCCGCCTCCACTTCCGCCGAGCAATAGTGCCGCCACTCGGTGCAGTGTGTAGAGGTGTCGCGTTTTTTTTTTTAAGAGACGCAATTGCTGCTGCATGCGTGTGTGTGTTACGTTAGCGCCGACCGGCTGACCAATGAGATATAAAGTCAGAGGGGGGCACCATGGAAGAAGTTGTTTGCGTTTGTGTGTGTGTCGAGAACAGACACATGGGTGTGTCAAAAAGACACGATGGCTTGAGTTGGAGGTGCGTCCTTGTGATGGCGCGGCTCCTGCTTCATGCCCACGATTTTTTTTTTGTCGAAAACCGAGGTGTGTCGTGGGAAAGCCACGGCGGCCATCGAGGCTTCGATGGTAAATGCACGTCGCATCGTTGTTTTATGCCGTTGCCAACCAGTTCTTTGTTGAGGAGGGCAAGATTTGACATGACACGGTAATTTACTGAATTGCATTTGATCATTCTTTGGGTTTGTAGCTGTATGGGATGGGCCGATTGTGCGCGGTACGGATGTTCGTTATCCGGCACTGTGCAGCTGCCCCTCTTATTGGGTGCCACAACCACACCAGCTGCAGCAGCTGCCTCCGTTACGGGCATGACCGATAGCTAGCTACAGTAAATTAGCTTCAAAGGCGGTATGGAAACGTGCACGCAGCACTGTTTGCTAGGGTGTATTTGTCAGGAACATTGTAGCTTGATCCGCTTTCGAAGATCGTTTTGAGGGACAGGGTTGGTTGATTCCCCTGTCTTGTCGGAGGACTACGATGCTGGCAAGTGGTCCTGGT